CCTAAGGCAGGACTAGAATTCACTGTCACCTGGTGATTGGCCCAAAGACATCCAGCCAGCTTTCCTACCTAAGGTGGGACTAGAACTCACCATCTCCCGGTTTCTACTCTGGTGCCTTAACCACTAGACCAAACTGGCTCTCTTAGCAAGGAGATGTGGGATGCAGGGGGGCTGAATTGGGTGACCGCTGAGAGAATCATTCTAGAAGAGAAAGGCGCCTGCGCCTGATCGAATGGGGAAAAATCCGAAGAAAGCCAAACGTAAAGTTTCGGCCCTTTCTCCAACTTCTGCTCCTGCCATGCCAACTTACCTCACGAAATCAGCCTTCATTTGCAAAGAACTTGGCACCACATTTGAGAAGCGGCCTTTGAGGTCCCACCGAGGCTGGTCTGTGAGACGTGACGCTACTCTCCGAGCACCCAGCTTCAGGAATAGTCTATCCTAAAAGGCCAATTTTCTGGGACAAGGAAAAACAAAATGCCCCTTTTCCATTTTGCGGCATTTCTGGAAGGCATCTCTCAGCCTCTTGACCAGGGGTGGAGAACGACGGCCCTTTTGTGTCTTGTAGACTTTAACTCCTGATCCAACCTCTATATCTGTTTGCTTCCTTTATGTATCCCCCCATTTCTCCCCCCCCCTCTCTCTCTCTGTCTGTCTATCTATCTATCTATCTATCTATCTATCTAATCTAGTATCTCTCCCTTCCTATCCAACCCTTCCTCCATCCATCCACCCATGCCTTTATCCCTAACTATCTATTTCTTTCTCTACATCCCTCCTTCCCTCCCTCCCTTCCTTTATCCCTCCCTTCATCCTTCTCTCCATCTATATCTCTCCCCTCCCATTGTCCATCCATCCCTTCCTCTATTCCTCAATCCATCCCTCCATACTTCTATCCATCTCTCTGCTTTTCTCTGTCCACATCTCTCCTTCCCTCCCTTCCTCAATCTATCCCTCCTTCTATATATCCATCTCTCCTTCTCTCTCCATCTACATCTCTCCTCCCTCCCTCAACCCATCCATCCCTTCATCCATCCATCCATCTACATCTCTTTCCTCTCTCCGTCCACATCTCTTCTTCCCTCCCTCCCTCAATCTATCACTCCTTCCCTCTTATATATCCATCTCTCTTTCTCTCTCCATCTCCATCTCTCCTCCCACCCACCCGCTCCTTCAACCCATCCATCCCTTCATCCATCCATCATCTACATCTCTTTCTCTCCCCTCTCTCCTTCTACATCTTTCCCTCCCTCCTTTCCTCTATCCCTCAATCCCTCCCTCCTTATACCATATATCCATCTCTTTTTCCCTCTGTCCTTCTATTCCTCAATCCATCTCTTCATCCATCCATCCATTCATTCCTCCCTCCCTCTATATAGCCGTCTACATCTCTCTTTCCTTCCCTCCTTCCATATATATATATATGTGTGTGTGTGTGTGTGTGTGTGTGTGTGTGTGTGTGTATCTATTCCTCTTTCTCTCTGTCCTCATCTCTCCTTTCTTCTATCCCTCCAGCCATCC